AGCATGCACCAAATTTCCGTGCCAGTACATTAGCTTGTACATACAACATACGGCACTGCCGATATATATCCCCGTCATCAGACAAACAATCATTAATAACATGACCCAAATACTTAACTTCACTGCACACAGTTAAAATATTATCAGATAACTTAAAAGAAGGAAATACAAATACAAATATAATAACAGAACTTACGGTCAGTGTGGCCTTTGTATCATAAACAAAGCGTTTTATGCGCTGGATGATGCCATTTCCTCCCAAACACTGAAAACCCAAAACAAAAAATAGTTACTATATTATTTTATAATCAAACTGTTGTTAAATCTTCTCTGTAGTTATTCAGGTGCACTTATCAACGCTCACCTGGATGCTGCCATCCAACACCCCTTTCAGGAAATCCAATAGGTGGCGCTCTGTCTCCACATCACCCTGTGGCAGGAAGTAGCCATCAATGGACAGATTGACCACGATGAGCGATGGCACAATCACCTCACTGGAAGTGAAGCCCAGACAGAAAATGTTATAAACTGATCTGATCCATGTTCAGGTCAATCGTCAGGTGCTGGGTTTTAATCTATACAATCTGAGTTGATGACTCCCAGGTGTCTACATAAAAATGATGGTAACACAGATGTTAATGACTAGAGGAGCTGACAACTGGAGACTTTAACAGCTAGAGATGATAATGATTTGAGACAATAATGACTGCTTATGCTAACGAAGCCCAGGTGTCCACAGATAACAAGCAGAGATTTTAATGACTGTTGTCCACGGACTGCGTCAGATCTCTACATGAAGACACCCCTGAGTGTTTTATGGCAGACTTGGGATGGACCCACCCCATCACCAGTCCGCTGATGTAGTCATGCTCCTCCATGAAACCAAAGTAGAAGTTTCTGAAATTGAGACAGTGTCAGGTTTTATTTCTGCTGTTTGTTTGCTTTTTTAGAATAAATGCGCCCTGTGACAGATCTCTGACCTGTAGATCTCTCTGTAGTCTGCTGCCACTTTCTCCACCAGACTCTTATACCTGGACAGGCCACAGGAAACACATCACAGGAGGTCAGATCCAATCAGATGACATCGCAGTGTTTATTTTAGCCGATGGACAAAGAACAGATGCAGTGTTACCTCAGACCTTCTTTACACGTGTTCTTGTCCACGAGGGCCAACACCACTAGTTTCCCTGCAGGAGAGAGGCGGGGTCAGCTGCCTCAGAGCTGCAGCTGTACTTCTCCTATCATCCACTAGCTGCTGCTGTGAGGAAACTATATTTAAATGAAGGAGAAACATGTCAAACCTGACTCTCCCATGGCGTACAGAGTGTAGCTGTCAATCCTGAAGTAGTTTGGGAAGCGTTCTCTGTTGATCCACAACTTCAGGTCTCCATCCCGTTCCTCTGAAAAACAATTTAAAAACAAAACAAAAAAAAAAAAAGGTTTAAATTCACTTTGGTTCTCTGACTTTACCTCAACACTAATCAGACCACCTGAGGACTTTAATTCGTTGTTTGGTTGCACATGAATAAACTAAGGCCTTTACATTTTTTTTCTTAAAGTGCTATTAATTTACACATCAGTAATATGTAAATGTATTTATAATGATTATAACTGCACAGTTTAAGGGTTTTTCAAAGGTAAAATCCCATTAAACTGACCAAATAACATTAAAGTGCCTTTACTTCATACTTTTATTTTTCACCTGTCACACACTCTGAACCTTAGCTCTTTTCCAAATAAAGCCAAACTCATCTTACTCTCACAGTTTCTACATTTAAAACTTCATTTTTACATTAGGTTGTTGAAACACTCATATTTTTAAATGATAAGACAGTGCTTTTGAATTTTGGACTCTGCCTCATTAACTGACAACTGAACTGGTTTTCATACTTACACTTCAGCTACTTTCACATCAATTTAAATGTTTTTTGTTCTCCAGCTGACAGTTTCACTATGTTCAGTACTACTACTACAACATTGTAACTGTCACTGTTTGCACACAACCAATCACTTCAACTGTAGTATTTACAGTGCACTTCAACTTCAACAGAAATTTTAACCGTTTTCCTTCTTTAACGTTCAAGTCATGTTTCAACTGCTTTCATGCTCTGGAGATTAACATTTTAGTTTTTTTCACTTTTTGTTCTTCAGAAAATGGTTCACCTGCTTTCAACTCTTTGTCTTCAACAACTTTCAGGATTTAAATAAAAACACACTTCACATTAAAACTACCTGATGGAATGCAATGTGAAAGGAAAACAAAATGGTTTCAGCTCCTTTTAGCTCTTAACACTGCTTTCAGGGTGTCTTCTTCAGCTGATGCTCTCAAACTATGTAGTACATTCTAACTATATTTTAATTCATTTTAAACCTATTTAAACTTGTCTAAACTGGGAGTTTTCACTGTAAGCGAGCCCACTTCAGTTTCTTTCTGAAATCTATATTTGAAGGCAGGACACCATCATGAACGCTGTCATAGTGACATCAGTTCTACCTGTTGACAGGTACAGACTAGCACCTTTGTTCCTCTAATCCTCAGAGAAATAATGAAGATATTTAGATCAGAGTTCAGTTTCTGTCTCACCATTGTAGGTAAAGTAGGTCCCATCTTTGAAAACCAGCACAGCTGGCAGAGAGGGCAGAGAGACGGCCTGGAAGCACAGAATGAGGTTAATAAGGTCTAAGACAGAGATCTGCTCTACTGTTAGCCACAGTTTACACCTGTCACTTATGAGATTTAATTCAGTTCCTAAAACAAATATACCTGGACAGGAAACAAAGGGGTTAAAATCTGTTTTATGTTGAAGCAGACAGATAAAAACCTTCAGAATGGCAGGAAGTGCTGTTAGACCTCTTGCTGGGTTTGTCAGACTCGTGAGGTACTGTATTAGCTTCAGGATAAACAAGTGTGACCATGAGGTTACTGCTCCATCCTAATGCCATGTGCTCACCTTTTACTGACTGATGAAAGTGTTCTGGCTTCTTTCATGGCTGAGTTACAGTAAATAATCCAAATTCATCCATGAAAGTTCTCTACTAGACTGACTCCTGACCTGAACTGATCCCTGGCCTGTAGGTGGCGCTCTTGTGTACATAAGCACAGATACTTACTACATCAGTATTATCAGTTTTATTTAATATTCCTTAATTTTAGCAGCTATCCTTCAACCTGGTCTCAACCACTAAGGTAATAAAATAAAGCTCATTAGTAAAAGTTAGGCTAGTGGTTAAGCGCTCTCGCCACTGCACCCCAGGTTCAAATCAGGGTTGTGTCAGGAAGGGCATCCGGTGTAAAACACATGACAAATGTCAACATGCGAGTCATCAGTGTGACGATTCACTGTAGTGACCCCTAAACGGAAAAAGCCAAAAGTGACTTTAGTAAAAATGCATGCACCTCCACAGAATGCTTCTTTGCATCAGGTGCATAGGCCAAGGAGTGATACTAGTAGAGTAAAATAAATTATAGTCTACACACAGATTTGATGTTCCACAAAGTTATTTATCTTCAGGCCAAGTTACCTTTCCAAATAAATAACATCGGTCTGAAGAAAAATAACCTTGTGGAACATCAAATCCGTGTGTAGACTATAATCTTTTTACTCTACTAAGAAAGAAACACGCTTCTTTTTACTGTCCTCTACTTTGTTCTGCTTTACTATCCTCTACTGTCCCCGCAGTCGGTCTTGGTCTAAACCTTTGGTAGGACGTCTCTGGTAGCAGAGAAGAAATAGGTGTGGACAATCAGCTCCTCAGCCACAGACGTGTAGTTTCCCTGAAAACAGAGGTCAGAGGTCACTGCGTGTGTATACTAGTACCTCTATCATTGTGAGAACCAGTTTATGTTTTCTGACATGTTGGGACAGACTGTCAGATATTTCTGGGTTCACACTTGGTTTTAAGGTCCAGGTCCAGGTACAGGTTAAGGTTGGGTGTTAGAGGTGTGTGTGTGTGTATATACCTTTAGCTGTGATGTGGCTCCAACATAAACCAACATGACATCATGGCGGCTCATGGCATGTTGGAAAAGCTGCACACTGCTCAGATGTCGTACCAGTGGCCTGAAAAACACGTCATTTGTCATGACCAACAAGTCTCATATGAGGTCCACAGATGATAAAAACATACAGAGTTATTCAAAAAGAATGAACCGATTTCACTGCGCAATATTTTATTAAGGAAAAGTAAGTAATACAAAACTCCAGCCAAGTCACAAGTATTCTACTCACAATCAACTTTTATTTCCTGTCTTACAAGTTGGGGGGGGGGGGGGGAGGTAGAGCGGGTCGTTTCCTAACCGGAGGATTAGCAGTTCAATTCCCGGCTTGTCCAGTCAACATGTCGAAGTGTCCTTGAGCAAGACACTGTACCCCCAGTGTGTGAATGTGTGAGTGTTTGGGAGTGCGAATGAGTGAATGGCCAAATAGTGTGAAAGCACTTTGAGTGTGCTGTAAAAGCATAGAAAGGCGCTATACAAGTATAAGACCATTTACAAGTGTTCAATGTGGCCACCATCTGCAGCACAGGCAACATCAATGCGATAAGAGAATTCCTCCCAGGCACGTATCACGATCCACACAGTTGATTGCTGTTGTTGTGGCCACACTGAACACTTGTAAGACAGGAAATAAAAGTTGATTGTGAGTAGAATACTTGGGACTTGGCTGGAGTTTTGTATTACTTTTCCTTAATAAAATATTGCGTAATGAAATCGGGTCATTCTTTTTGAATAACCCTGTATAGCAACTGACAGAGAAACGCTTGCTGTGTGAACAGTAGCTGCTGTAAATAGAAAATCAGACAATATAAACATGTACTCACCCTGCAACTCGATTAACAAAGTCCATGATCCCATCTTTGGTTCTTGGGCCTGAATAATTGTATTTCACACCTTTCTTCAACCTAGAAACAAAACAGCTGCTAAAACATCTGTAAGAGTAGAACACCAGTTTATTGCCAAACCCTAGATCTGATTGGTTGATGTACAGTGACGTCACAATGAGGACTTACATGAGAATGGCGGGATAACCTCTGACCCTGAATTCTTTGGCCAAACCTGCAGAAGAACACAACAGGAGTCATGACCTCTGACAGATATAAATGTAGAGAGGGAGACGAACAGTCTCTGGTTTGTTCATTTGCACATTTAAACAGCAGCATAATAATCATAGAACAGGCCATAGACATACAGAGGAGAACAATGGATAAATAATTAAAAAAAAGAAGATATGGAACTTATAAAAACTGAAATAAGAAACAGAAGAAATCACAAATTGGCTCATAATTATATAAACAAAAAATTATAAATGAAATATATACAGTCCAGGCCATAAGTATTTGGACAGTTACTTATTTATTGTTCTTCTGATTGAGAGGTGTTGACAGTGATGTTAGGCCTTTATTTTGGTAGCGTGACTGACCGGTGCTGGCAGTGGCATCTGATTTGCCAACACTGACTGGAGAACCAAGACTCTTCAGTTCTGATCCAATCTGACGCCAAACCGGATCCAGTTGTTTGCACAGGGAGCACCAGGGGGCATAAAACTGCACAAAATACAATGCCGTGCATATTATACATACAGCAGCCTGCACAGAGTAAACCAAATTAAAATAGTCGGAAATTATTGTGTAAATGTGAGTTTGGTGTGAAAGTGATGATAAATGAAACTTGGTCATACTTTAATGATCCAGATGTCGTCCGCTGCTCTGCTCTCCATGAAGCTGTGAAACACAGTCACTGATAAACCTCAGATCTGATCATTAAGAAGCAGCAGCATCAACATGAAAACAAATAAGAAATTAAAATAACTAAAATAAATATAACTATTCCCACTGTATACATATTTTATCTGAAGTTAAACTTGAGTATGAGGAGGAAGTGAAAGGAAATGCATTTCTTTTATTCTACTTCATATTTGTTTCTAGGTATTTGTGTATTTCTGAATTGGGACACAGCAGAAAGTTCTGGCACAACTTCACCCACTGTCAAGGTGCACTACAGGGAAAAACTAACTGGAAAATAAAAAGTACAGCAACACTTGGAGTGTTTTGAGCAACTTTAATAAGAAGACCAATGTTTTTTATATGAAGCCTTCATCAGGGTCTGTAAGAGTGAGTACAGATGTAGAAAGAAACAACCGATCATATGAGTGTTTTTGCCTTATTAAAGTTGCTCAAAACACTGCAAGTGTTGCTACACGTTTTGTTTTCTAGTGTATTTCTGAATTGTGGACAGACAGTAACTGTTCTGGGGCCTATTTCAAGAAGGCGGTTTTGTCGAAACTCAGAGTTTGTTAACCCCGAAATGAGGGCAACTCGGAGTTTTCGGTTTCAGAAACGGAGGTAACTTAAACCCGTGAAAGCGGGGTAAGTTAAACCCGTTTCACAAAGAGAGGTAATCTAAACTCAGAGTCAGTTACTATGGCAACTTACTCTGTGAACCTAACCTGCCGGGGAGCAGGTTTTGTTCGGGAAACTCAGAGTTTCCTCCGGGTCTCCGCCCCTTTTTAAAGTGAAAGGTGTTTAATACCTCTTTCATAGATTGCACACGTTTCCGTCACGCAGAGACCAAAATGGCGTGTCCATTCATAGAGGATCCTGTAGA